TATAATTTTGTAGTTGTTTAATTAGCTTTTATTATAATAAACAATTAATCGATTAAACATCATTTGCTAATTGATTTATACAGCTATATTGATTTTGGCAGAACGAACTCGACACGGACAAGACCTTACCTTTATTCCAAGATATGTAGTTTACTTGTGAAGACAGTTTCAAATAACATTTGCAATTTTATTAATAAAAAAATACACAGATTTTGTGCCAACTATGCATTAATTAATATGAAAACGATAACAATAAATATGATAATGGCGCTATAACCTTTTAGGTCTGGGCCTCAGATTTATATCTGTTCCGTGATCATTTATAATAGGCATCTAGGTGATCAACCTGTGTCTGATACACGTCGACTTTTTGGGTATACGGCATGCCATTTCCTCATGTTTTTCTTCACCGTACGTGCGTGTGTTAAATGCCAGAAAGTCCACTGGTGCACGGGGATCAAAATAACGACCCCAGGAATGTCGATCGTTGAAACAACTAGAACGACACTGCTTATTGAAGTTATACTTCTTTTGGCGCGTTAGGGAAATTGATGAGAGTAAATTTTTACGATGCGCGCGCACTCCGTCACAAAAAACCGACACCCGCACATCGTCACAAAAAACCAACACCCTGAATATCTGTTCAAACGTCAAGTGTTCAAGTTGCATTGTATGTCATGGCGTAGTGTTTTTCAGAGTCGTGTTTATTTAAACCAAAATAATGATTTCCATACGAGAAAGCCCGTTTCAATGTGATAAAAAACATAATGTTAATTATAAAATATTATGATTAGTACATATTATATCGTTTCGATTGGAAGTAACCATAAAATGGACAAAAGTCACTCTAAAGTGCTCGAAGAAAATTATTACGCCAAAGAAGTATAACTTCTAACGCGTATTACATAAATACACACACGTTTTTTATTTATGCTGTATATAATATTTTGCAGGCACTAAGGTTTTCATAAACTCGATGGTTTCAGATTGGTTGCGGGTCTCGCCGCGTCACTTGTCCTAATTGTGATTGAGTTTTTGACATTTCTCTTTGGATTAACAATGTTCTCTCCGTCCGTATCATTGACATGTATCCTTTTAAACAGATAGCAATAGTGTAGTTTGCATTTAAATTATAGTAACTGGTATTATAGTCTAGTCGACAAGTTGAAAATGGTACAAAATAGAGATACTGCTCTTAAAATTATGTGCGATAGCTCATTGGATCCGGAATGACGTCTAGAAAAATGTGCCAAAAGCGTGTATTAGCACATAAAAAATTAAAGATGAAAAAAAAATGGCATGCCAATATTTAATAAACTATTAATATTTAAGAAATTTCAAAAAAAAGATTCTGAAAGAGGAGGAAATTTCCAATAAAAAACTCCTAACTCCCGGAACTCTATCTCCATTATTTATATAATTAATACATTTTTAATTTGACGCTGAAAATAGGTCTGCGCGTGACATTTTTAGGATGCGTGCGTGGCGTCAAAAGCGAGTACGGCACATTAATTTATTTATTTAAGGTATTGAATTTTTTTTCTTTATACATTATGATAAGCTATTTAGGTTTAGTTAGGCGATAACGGGACAGTGGTGGTGGGAATGAAATCGGCTCGTAGTTCGAATCGGCTGTAGCATACTCTACACACGTCAATTAGGGTACGATTACCTTACACACGAGGCGATCTAGGCGGGTGCTCCCCACCACATCCCCGATATTACTTCTGATTTTAGGGCCGTGTGTAGACGTAGACGCTTTTATTAGGATCAATTTCGTGTATGGTTATTGCACTAAATGTTCGGTGGGTTGATATGAGTTTCAAAAAAAAATGTGTTTTTGTAATCATCGTTTTTCCACTTGGGGGCCGTTCAAGTATTACGTAAGCAGATTTACTGCCATTTTACCCCTCCCCACCTCCTATTGTCAGCAAAGATCTCAAAAATAATAGTACATAAACGTATTAATTTTTTGTAGGAATCTTCGAAAATGCATTTCGTTTTCAAGCATAGACAATGTGTGGGTAATGTGTCTAAAAACGTAAATAATTACTGTTGACGTAATAACCAAATAAGAAAATCAAAGGTTTTAACTCCCAATAGGATCGCATTAAGCTTCATAAAACTATGTTTTCATGAACAATGGTGTTTAAAATATGTTATTGTCAATATTTATCATCATAAACATATTTTACCCACATCATTGTTTAAAAAAAGATTAGAATTTTCTTATATAAATTTCAGTGAAATGTTTTGCTAATAAGACTTGAATTGAATTGTCACTTATAATACCACAAGAGCTTCAAAATTATCGGGTATTTCCCGATAGGTTCGTTGAAAAAAAATGAAGGAGTCAAGTTTCGCAGGGCGCGAAGCGCTCGTGAGTTTTTAACCTGGAAAACTTGCGACTTTGGGGAACCTTGAGGAAAATGCCAGATAATTTTGAAGCTCGTGTGGTATTCGGGGGATTATTTTTCCGACCCAAATGTCTGCCAATAGAATTGCACCATGAGACGAAATGTACAGTTAACAAATAAGAATTTCATAATGAATAAAACAACTACTTAATACTTTTCTTGAAGCAACTACCAGAGAAAATTTTCAAAAAATTATCAGTATAATACCATGTAGGTTGTACCACGTGACGTCGAATGGTGCAATTCTATTGGTCGATATTTGGGTCGGAAAAATAATCATAATAATTAATAAATAATTTTGAATAAAATAAACGTATTTCGTCGTACACGTCATTTTAGGATGATATAGGTGTACATACAAGGATATAACCTAGAAAAGCTATGTAACTATTGTTTCCTGATCAAAAATTTGCAACTTAATGATTTTCACGACTGTATGAATAGATAAAATGTAGGATAGGGTATACTTTTTAAATCCACTCTATTCTTTGAATAAAATATTCTATTATCTATGAAAGACGCCTCAAATTAACGTAGAATAAGAAAAGGAATTATGTCATTAAAGAATCGCTATACGGGATATAGCGATTTCTACGAAATTAATAGTGCTATAAACAATCATACATTGAAAAACAATATTTTTTTTATATTAGGTACTACAATTTTATTGATTATATTTTGTCTTATAATCTTATAACAGATTCATACATTAACACGTTTATCCTGTAATGTATTTTCTGTTTAACAATGCCTAATAAAATAGTATACCGTACACAACTAGTTTCTTTGTCATTAATCAGCTCAAAGTGTAATTAAGTAGAAATAAATAAAAGAATAATGCCTCATTATTATGTGTCCTACTAATGAATGTGTAAATAGACTTAACAGTCATCTTCGGTCAAGTCAATTCAGTGGCTATCGCGTCAGTTCAATCTTATTTAGGTCAAACACGAGAATGAATTCATTGAACTGAAATGTCTAAATACTATTACCATATATTTGTTCCTTAATTAATCGATTACAAGTCTACATAATTTGCATTAACAAATATTCTATTCCATTTAAACTTTTAATTAGCTTAGTAGGAAGTAGTAACATTCTCTAAACATACACAATTATATTGTGCAAATATAGTTAAATCTGAACAAAGAAAGCTTTTCATATCAGTGGATCTCGGTGTGCCTAAAGATTATGGTTTAATACCAATATTAAATTGTTTGCTGTGTGAATTGTTTTAAACACGTGCTTAGTATTAGCAAACACAATTAAAGTAAATACAAATCATTGCTAAGGAAAAGCCGTAACTCTCGTGGTAATTATACAATTTGACGATGGATGTCACAAGCGAGCAATAATTACCGAATAATTAGAAATGTTTAGAAAACCGCCACGAGAGATCGCTTTAAAAATCCGTCCTACGCCCTGATGCCTAAGCGAGGTTGCCAATCTTTTAATAGCGACTACAGTATGCAAGTGAGGCAACGCCGCAAATGTATAAGATGCGACACTTAGAGGTTTATTGAATTATTCAAAAGCAAAGGAGACCCAAACAATGACGTAAGAGATTGAAATTGGTACTAAAGCGGGCCATAGACGGACCGCATGTTGCAGTCAAGACCGACTGCAACATGCGGTTTGCTCAGGAACTACTCGAGCGGTCCGTGTATTGCGAATATGAATTTAGTATGGAAACTGCAGATCGCCGGGCGACCGCTCAGAGCAGTCGGTATCGGCTGCAACATCCGGTCCGTCTATGGCCCGCATTACGGTCATACACTGGTCAATATTAACTGTCATAACAAGAAAATACTATTATAATAATTATAAATGTATTATTACTTTACTTTGAATAAGTTTATATTTTGGGTTGAAAATACATACTACTTACATATAATGTTACAAAAATATTTTTAAAACGTAAAATTTTTGCATAGACATGTATTTTTATCGGTAAATAAATTAACCGTAAGAAAACCGTAAATATGATACCCTGTTTGATGGTGACGGGTATACAGTCTACGGAGCTTACAACAGGTTAAACGGACTTTTCCTCCTAATTGGAGAATTTGTTGCTATAAATTTATATATAAATATATTATCTAGTAGCAAGTAGCACAATATTGATTATGGCTAAGCACCATTTATCTACCGATATACGGATTAAATGGTTTGGATTCGAAATATGTTATTTACACTAGAGTTTTTTGTTTTCTAAATATGTGAAATAAGATTTAGCAAAACTTCGCAAAACCTTAGAACGAGTTTCTATTTCGGAAAAGCGAACAGCCTCTATGGGGTAGCATAGCAAAATTTTCAATATGTACGCATGTAGCTACTAAAAAGGTAGGCTAAGTAAGAAAATCATATGGCGAAATGAAGTTCGCGGGGCAACTATTTTTTTTAATATAACTGTGAAATTTTTAATTTATAGTAGGGAGACGCTAGACAGTTATTTAAGGAGATTATATTCTCTACTTTTAGGTACTTTATGCTATCTGAAATCTTGAATCTTCCCAGACGACCTGTTGTTGGCATGTCGACCAAAATATGTATATTTTTTTCAATAAACTATAATCGCCGCCCATGGAGACTTATACAGCCAGATTGGACCCACTCTGCTTGTGCTTTGCCGGTCTTATAAAACATCCTTCTATATTCCTTACATCACAATTATCAGCTATCGCCGGGCATGGGTTCGCTTCAATCACCCTAACCTACTTTGTGCTAGATGGTTGGCTCTGCGACTGGTTCTGGCCAATCTTCTTTTTCTGTTCTGTTATTCCCTCTTGTATTGATCTCGGTACAGCAGTGGTAGTTTTATGCTCGTCCAAGTGGTGATCCACAATTCTCACTAGTATTTCTTAATTTAAGTCACTTTTTGTGTTTTTCCGCACTTCCATTAAATTTCGTTTAGGTTTAGACTCAAAGAAGATTTTTACTGTCACGTAAGTTATGTTAAAATACTTTGAATAGTAAATATAGTGTAACACTAATCACTAGTTTTAATATACGCTTAACACTTATATTCACCGTTCTACCCCGTTTATATCTGAGTTGGAAGTCCTGTACCCGAAATTTTGTGGTGTATGTGGAACTTATCCCACACCAGAATCTCTGCTATTTAGAGACTGGGTGAGCAATACCCACTTAAACCACCTCAGGTAGTTCCTACAAGGCTGCGTAAGAGAAAGTAAAGCTCCGGGGTCACTCGCATTCTACCGGGGCCTCAACGGCATACTTGTTACACTCAAACTGCAGTACACACTACTTAGGAAATGGGCATATCTTCCTATATTAACTCCGTGTCTTCTAACCCTAAGATTCATTCACTGTGTTACCCAGTAGATACTATACAACCAAAGCAACCACAACGCAGTGAACATAAGAAATCTTTTACGAATAATAATGTCTTTAAAATTTATATTTACGTTTTTATATATATATATGTATAATGTATAGATACAATATCATAATGAATTCATTAATTAAATTAAACTATTCAATTCACGATTGAACAGTGTTGGCCTAGTGGCTTCATCGTACGACTCTCATACCTGAAGTTGTAGGTTCGATCGCCGGCTGTGCACCAATGGACATTCTTTCTATGTGCGCATTTAACATTTGCTCGAACGGTGAAGGTAAAACATCGTGAGGAAACCGGCATGTCATAGACCCAAAAAGTCGACGGCGTGTGTCAGACACTGGAGGCTGATTTCCTACTTGCCTAGTAGATTTAAAAATTATCATGAAACATGTTCATGGCCTAACCAGGTTGCAGCGCCACTGATTTTTTTTATTATTAAATTCACACGTTTTGACCCAATATGCACGTTGGCACGCGCTTGGTTTTCAACACCTCACCAGCACCTGCGCTTGTGTTTGTCTTATCTTTGATGAAATTTAAAAAAAAATGTGATATTGTTACAGGTAACCAATGAGCACCAGCACTTGACACAAACGCACGATTACAAAGCAGGATGGTCGTTCTACTTGGTGTTAGCTGGAGTGGTTACAACCCTTGGCTCTTCGCTGCCGGTTGGGTTCAATATCGGTGTAGTTAATACGCCGGCTGAGGTATGATTATATTTATTTCTCAACACGTAAGTTAGCAAAATTTGTTTGTTGGCGAATTGACACATGCGAATTTTCCCACAGCTCGAGATAATCTTGCCAATATATAATAACCGTTATTCAATTGAATGAAGATATTCTTCTTCTAAAGGAAGTAGCAGATTGTTTTTTAAGATTTACCGGAGATCGAACAGGACTTGCGAGGTTTACGTGCTGTGTTTTACCAATAAGAGAGTGGTTTCAGAATTAATGTGAAATAGTGACATTATTCGGAATCGCGAAAAGACTAAAGTAAAACGAGTTTTAATTTGTTATCTACTCGTTAATTCATTGACGTAGAAATTATTCTAAATTTATAGGAACAAGTAATAAACATCTTTAAGGGTATTGAAGTAACTATACTCAATTTTATCATTACAGTTAATACAACAGTTCTGTTATGAAAGTCTACGCGAGAGGTTTAACATCGATTTAGATGCGACATGGATGAACATACTCTGGTCTTCGATTGTCTCCATATTTATAGTGGGAGGATGTACGGGTTCCATTCTTGGTTCAGTGCTGGCTGATAAACTTGGAAGGTAATGGCTTTTGTATGTCTTTATTCAAAGTTCAACATTCAAGTCTAAGATTATGCTTTATACTGTTAAACTATGGTAATTATTCAGTATATCATTTGATTAAGGAATATTTTGATTCAATTGCTAAAAAAAACTATTAAATTTTGATTTATAGTAGCTATTAAAGTAGCTTTTCAACTGTGTTACCATAAACATTAACACAATTTGTCTGTTTTTGTGACAAAATACAGTTAAGAACAGATTAAAAGTTGAGATATATCAAACCCGAATAGAATATTAATATTATTATTTTAATGCCTTAATACAAAAGCAACTCTTGATGTAAACTTACCAAGAATTACGCATGTAAATGTGTCAATCTACAAGTTTTTATGATACTATATCACACCATCGATAGAATAGTGTGTAACAACTCAAAAAGTTAAAATGGAGTTCAGGAGAAATATCTACTTCTTTTGTTGCAACGCGAATACCATGCATACGTACTTGTTATATATTTATAAAAAATAGTTTATTTAATGAAATAATTATCTATATATATAATATAATAGATAATATTATATAAATTTTTTTTTATATATGTAATATTATATGAAATGCGATCCACTTCGTTTGAACTTCGTTTCAATATAAAACTTTACTTTATTGATGAATTAGTGAAGTTAGTTTTACTGTTAATTAAGAAAAGGATACATTTCTAAAACATATATCTTTATCTAATATAATAATATATCTGATCGGAAGTGCGATGTGGAAAAAATCGTATCGTTTTAAGCTCAAAACGACCGACGATTGGTCGCTGATTTAAAGTGAGATGTAGTCCATTGGAGAGCACATGTTATACATCCTAGGGTAGATTGAAGGAGACAAGGAGGTTTCACTATTTCGCTGTTTAACAATATTATTCAAATTGTGCGGTGGATGTCAATAACGAAGTTCTGAAACTCTTATCACATCGTATTTGTTGTTTATTTTTTAGGAAGAATGCAACAATCGTGACCAGTATATTGTCATTGGCAGGTGCTCTAATGTTTGTGTTATGTCGGACTGCGAATTCCGTCGAAATGCTTATATTAGGTAGACTGCTCGTCGGTTTATCTGGTGGTAAGTTAAATTATAAAATTTTGGAATCCAAAATTTATACAATGATATTCATCATTAAGGCGAAACAAATTATTTACTTTGTTATAATAAATGTAAGAAAAAACTTGTCGCAAAGTTGGCAAACAAATGCCAACTTCGGGGCAAAAGATGGCGTTGATACGGCATAATCTGTCAACTTGATGATAGCTGTCATCAACTCGAGTTTTGTATCTTCTAATATATAAATTTCTCGTGTCACAATGTTCGTTCCCATACTCCTCTGAAACGGCTCGACCGATTCTTATGAATT